TCTATAGCTCATGTCAGTAATGTGTCAAAGGATGGTGATCTAATATGATTTCTTCACAGTCACCTCATACCTACATTCAGGATCCTCTTTAGTGAGCACTAAATGGACAATGATGGGGGATGGAGGGCATAAATAATGGACAAATAAAAAAATGAAACTAGATCTACTAGTTGCACTTCCATCTGAAGGCAGGAAACTATTTAAGTTGACATCAGACTGCTTAGGAGTTATAGTTGTGTCCTCAGGTAAAATCTCATGCCATTGTCCCAGCATGAAGAAAAATGAGGAGGTACAGGTTCTGCTTGCCTAAAGACACAGCTTTCCAGTTGGGGCCTGGCTGGGACTTTGTTTATTTCACTTCCAGATTGCCTGTTGACTTCACTAAAATTTGACTATATAAGGTGTCCGCTTATATAATATTTGAGTCACAGTGCCTTGAAGTAAATGGAGCAATCACTGTCCCTTGGGAATACTGTGATGTTAAAAATACATAGTAGATTTAGTAGATAATAATAGTTTTTGCAAAAACCCACCCTCCACGATAGGGCTGCACCACAATGTTATCCCCTCTCCACAACTTCTTCCATTTTAACTAACACCTCTACAAGTAATTTTATTTCATTTTAAATATATGGGGTACAATTTAGGATTAGGTATAAAAGTGGCCATCGTATAGGTAAAGTTTGGGCCTACCTTTGGTCCCTGCTTTACCTGATTTGAGATCAGGTATCCTTATTTGATGTTCTATGCATCCCCTTCCCTCCCTTGGTAGCATCCTATAACTGCCAAACCTTTTCTTATAGTGTTATGATAAATGTTCAGGATCCGCTTATAAGTGAGAACATGTGGTACTCAGGTTTTTGTTTCTGTGATTGATCACTGAGCAAGATAGACTCTAAACTCATCTAAGTTGCTGCGAAGGCCTTAATTTTGTTCTTCCAACAGTAATTTTAAATCGGTAAGTAAATATTAGCAAGCCTCATGGTTGGAACTGCTTTATCATGGAGGTGCCAAACTTCTCTCCTACATTGAAACTACCTGAGGGTTATGTGACTTCCTTGAGTTTCCTAGTACCAATCCAAGCACAAAGAAAACACTCACTATAAAGGTACTGATTATAGGGGTGCATGGAAATGAAGGGTTGAAAGGACACCTTGCAATATCTAATCCTTGAATGAAAATATAAATAGTGTGAAACAAACCCTATCAGTATTTTAACCTTTGTTTAAAACAGAATTGGTATGCTCTACCACATTAGTGTAAAAGAGAAAACAAAATAGATATTATAGTATTTGATGAAATTTTATCTTGCCTGTCAGATTAGATGCAGCAATCTTATAGGCCTACAACTCACAAGTAATTGGAAGAGGTAAACAGTCCTGAATAATCTGAACAATAAACTTATCAATAAATGAACGTATTCATTAGGCAGTTGGATAATCTAAGCACTTAGCTAGTATTTGAAAAGGCAAGACACAGAGTCTCTGGGCTTCATTCTTATGTATGTTAGGCAGTAACATTTGATGTTTATAACATTAGAATCTAGGGCACTGATAAAGTTTGTATGGGTAAGGAATGGAGAGTTATTACATAAGGTAGCCTTGGTTACTTCTTGAATTGTTCGGATAACACTGACTATTCAGGTGTGGAAAATGAATACAGCCGATTCACTGGAATACAGAAATAAAATTATTATTTTCTAAATAAAAAGATCTCCTAAATAAAGTCATACTGCATTGTTTTAGTTAAATGCTAACTGCAAAACATTTACAAAATTGTGCTACTATAAGCCATAGCTGGAAATACTTCTGATGATTTACTTTTGTGTGAAATTAATTAAATATAATACTCAATTTCATAAATCTTGAGCATTTTTATCTTAGTCCTCAATCTCAGCATGTATACAAAATTACCAAAGTTTTTATGTTAAAATATAATTCCAAAGTAAATAAATGAAATCAATTTACTAAAAAAAGCATAAAACTTATATTTTGACATACTGTGTATTTTTAAAAGAACACTATGTTTTGAAATCACACGTCAACTATGATTTTACACTATACATTGATCTGTATCTTTTGTAGTTTATTTATGGGCATGAGTCATGTGATTTACATAAGGAGACTAGGATATCTTCAGAAAGGAATGTGATGAAGAAAAACCTCACGTTTTAAATTATGGTTGATTAATTCAAACATAAATCAATATATCAATTAGATATGGAAGAATGCTATAACACAATAAAAAAGTCAGTTTTCAAAATTTTCAAAATAGTGTATTTAGGATAATACAAGTCCAGTTTAAAAATATTTAAGATTGTTTCCATCTTTAAAAAGAGACCAAATCTATAACTGACCAAATCTATAACTGTAAATTATAGCACTTAGTCATATGGCAATGTAATTCAACAAAACATTTAACATACAGAAATTCTAAAATATATTGAAACTATTTTCACATTTGACTACTTTTCCTTTTTTCCCTTTAATTATACAAGATGCTTTATGGAATGATTGTCTAGAATAGACAACAGAGGAAAAGTATTATGACTATAAATACAAAAATAAAGTTCTGGTATCCATTATTGTTCCCTACTGTGGAGAAACATTTCAAATGTGCTAATATATTCATCACAAATAGTAGCAGGATTTAATATATAATTATAAATATTAGACAAACGAGTTGGTTGAAAAACTTTGCAGCATAAAAAGTCAAACTTTCTAACAATTGCAGGTCGTTATAAGGCTTTATATGCCTGTAAACAGATGATATTTTGACATCCTAATATGTAAGTGTAAGTTAATTTTGGGTATAGGTAAATATTTAGATTCTGGTTACTATGAAATTGTAAAAATATAATCTTATATTTGATGTAACAAATGAAAGAAGCTCTTCAGAAAGGAATAGGAAGACAGTTGTTTACTAGAATACAATTTAAATCCAACAATGTAAAAGACTGTGTGTGTGTGTGTGTGTGTGTGTGTGTGTGTGTGTGTGTGTGTATGTATGTATGTGTAAATAGCAATAAAAAATAAGATTCAAGAGTTTGCTAACTTTTTCCTTTTTTCAGTCCTGAAGTAATGATAAAACTAGAAACTAGGTTTTATTTCAAAGGAAAAAGCAGAGGCAGTGTCCTCATGCTTCAGGTTAAAAACTTCTCATAAAAGGCTAGGTTTGCTAAAGGCTTCCTAAAAAAAATGTGCTTTTGTTGTTACTATCAATCTGATATATAGCCAGAATAATGGAAAATAGCTATTAATCCCAAAGTATGCTTTTAAAACTTATAGAAGATAGAATATTAAATCAAACCAAATGACAATTTTAGAGAGATCAGTCTGAGAAGAGCATATAGTCTGAAAATTTACTCTCCTTTTCATCTGAGTCACACAGTCTCTGTCTATGTCTCCATAACTACATAATTAGTCTTGTAATTGACTTATTTCTTTGTACCTAAGAATCTTTATAACCTGCCATATTCATTTAATTTAACACAAAATTGTAATCCTGAAATTTGGACACAGTAGTGGAAGTCTCAATTCCCTCTGCACTGGAAGGAGTGGTTTGCATTTATGAATAAATATGGTGGGTCGGGTACAGTGGCTCAAGCCTGTAATCCCAGCATTTTGGGAGGCTGAGGCGAGGTTATTGACTGAGTCCAGGGGTTGGAGACCAGCCTGGGCAACTTGGTGAGACCTCGTCTCTACAAAAACCCAAAATATTAGCCGGGTGTGGTAGCATGCGCCTGTAGTTCTAGCTACTTGGAAGGCTGAGGCAGAAGGATCTCCTGAGCCCAGCATATTGAGGCTGTGGGCTGTGAGCCTGCCACTGCATTCCAGCCTGGGCGCCAAATGAGATTCTGATGGGAAAAAAAAAAGATTAAATATGTTTATGAAATATAGCACTAGTTAAGAAACAAACCAAAACAATCAATAACCTTCCCCCCAAATACATGAAGCTCTGAAAATAAAAGAAAACCTTTGAATAAATCAGAATACTGAGATATTAATGTAAAAATTTCCTAATTTAAATGTAATTTGTCAAAAGTGCTCAGTCTTCTTTATAAAATGTAGCTATTTTAATAAGGCTTATGTCTTCATCAAAAAATTTATCATAACATTTAAATTATGTGTAAGAAAACATTTTAGTTGATTTTATAGTTTAAAGAAAGCTGTATTCCTGCAACTAAAAAAGAAAAGTATGCTGAAGTCACTTTTCTTTTAACTAGTTAAGGGCACTCACAGTTCAGAGTGTCCACTTAAAACTTTATCTTAAATCTAAATAACTCATTTAAGCAGCAGATGAATCACTCATCCTAAGAAGCTTCCTTGAAGTCTTCCTGAATACTCTGGTAGCTGTTTTCTGTATATTCCTACAGCCTTTTGAGTTTATGTCTCTTATAATTCTCACTTCAGTATGTCTTGTGATATAGTCCATTCTTCACAGGTCTCTTTCCTCTGCTAAACTGCGTGTTCCTGTGGACAGGAGCAGAATGATACACATCTCCATGGTCTGGGCAAGACAGTCAACACAGTAAGCACTCAATATCTGTTGAACAATATTGTAAAAAGGAAGGTGAGCAAGAGAGTGTAGAGTGCCCAAATATTATGTGGGTGTGTTTCCTAGTTTACTTTAAAACAATGCTTACTTTTAACCATTAACAGAGACACATAAAAAATAAAATGTCTGGTTTAAATACCCACTGAGAAATAATATGAGAATGGTTAGAAGAAACAGAAATATTGATTTAAAAAAAGGAGATATTTAACATTTAGGGGGGTGTCAAAATGTCCCAAAGTTATTGTAACTCATTAATAAGTTTAAAACATTAGTTAAAGTAGTGAAAATTTCACACATTAAACCATGTAGATTTGGTTAAAGAGAAAAGACTTTCAGAGATTACTTAAAAGAATGAGCTAACAGTGCAAATACCGAGGTGCTTCATGAGAATCTTACCATGTGCTTTTCTTCCCCCTTACAAGAAAAAATTTAAAACTCTCCAGTTTTAACACAAACAAAAGATAAATATTTATGAAGGAAAACAAATTCCACAGCATTCCATACAGATTTCCAAACAGTCTGATGACTCACAACAGGCATCCATGATGCCACAATCCATATCACAAGGGCAGTTACAGTCATCCCCCATTTCATCTCCACAGCAACAGCAGCAGGCTTCCGAGGTGCAGATGCCACAAGACGCTTGTCCCAGGACAATATTGCAGAGGGTCAGGAATTCGCAGAACAAGCACGCCAGGATACAGTGGACACAACAATCTTTGTTTTCAGTTGTGAGGCGACCACATGGTGGGAAAAAGAAGGAAAACATAATACATGTTATTAATAGGCAAAAGAATTGAGCAAAATATCTAAGTAATCTACCACCCAAATGAAGTTTTCTGTGAGCTGGGAGCTCCAAAAGAAGCTTACATTAAATTCTAGATAAATGATTCTTAGAAGGAGATACTGCATTAAAAAAAAAAAAAGTAATATGTGTGTGCATGTGTGTTAGATTATTACTTTCACACACTGTGTGATGACCCTTGGGTCCTAAACCACTTTTCTGTGCTTCTTACCCATTCTTTCTATGTTCTGTTGCTCTCTGTAATACTGGGCTAAAACAGTTCTATGGTATTTAATAAAGTTCTTCAGAAATAGAACTTTCCTTCAACTGCTCCACCTACTTGCTGCAAAACTGGAAAGAAAACAAATCAAGCATAAAATATTCGGTATATTATTGATTAATTAATTCAGTAGTTAAACCAGCATTCATTAAACTGGGATCGATGATATTTTACTTTCCAATGTAATGGACTCAATTTCATGGTTTGAATTTTTTTTTTTTTTTGAATCAGGGTCTCTGTTGGCCAGACTAGAATGCAGTGGCACAATCATGGCTCACTGCAGCCTCGACCTCCTGGGCTCAGATGATCCTTCCACCTCAGCCTCCTGAATAGATGGGACTACAGGCATGCACCACCATGACTGGCTAATTCTTTTTTTTTTTTTTTTTTTTGGTAGAGATGAGGCCTCACTGTGTTGGTATTGCCCAGACTGGTGTCAAACTCCTGGGCTCAAGCAATCCTTTTGCCTTGGCTCTCAAAGTGTTGGGATTACAGGTGTGAACCACCATGCCCAGCCCTAATTATTTTTTTTAATTTCACAAAAATTAAAGAAAAATATTTAGACTCTGGTTGGGTCAAACTATTGTTTTTTGCATTGTTCATCTGCCTATTTTTAACAAAGGATTTGTGGCTTAGCAAATGTGGATAATGACACTACTTTGGTGGTAAAGTACTTTACATCAGATTATCTCCTAAGACATATCTAATGTCTCTCCAAACAACCATGTTCACCAAACTTAATAAACGGATAAAAAGGTGAAAAATCAAACAGATTACAATCGAATACATTTAGGATACCACATTCTTATGGTCTTTCCTTTAGAATTCTGGGGCAACTGAGAAACAATGAAAATAAATTTCTATTTCTGGAGGACATATTATATTAACATATATAATAAAATCATTTAAGACCAATGTTATAAGACATTTGTCCACTATCAGAAATTATTTTAAATTTTTACCAGGATTATTACTAAGTTATCTTTTGTGTGTGCTTTAAAATTTTGTCCAATTCAAGTTTTAATAAAAAGATCCCACTTCCTATAGTACTAAAAAGACACAACTATCCCCACCTTCCTCCCATTGTTACATGCCCTTTGTATTTCTGTATTTGGCATTAAAATTGAGCGCCTTCAACGGAGTGTCAGCAAATTGTGTGAAAACCAGAGATGAGGGAAAGAAAACCCAGCTTGTTGCTTGGCAGCCCTGCTGTAATAGAAAAGAATGCATCTCTATATATAATGCCATATAACTTTGCACGTAGACGTGAACTGACAGAATTCTTCTACTACAAATTTATCTGCTACAAATGCTTCAAGTAAGGAAAAACAAACACCAAAGTACCTAGGGCAGTCTCTCAACTCTATGGGCCTATGCCTACCCATCCCATCATACTCTCCCCAACTCCTTGAACACTTCCCCGTTTCTCTGCAGTCTCTAACTTTTGTAGAGAATTCAGAGGACAACAGGAGGAAATGTGAAAGCACGAAGTCATACACTCCACATGCCAGGCAATGAAAAGTGGGGAGGGTTGGAGAAGAATTCAAAGAGAAACTCCAGAGTTGTTTGCAGAATTAAAGGCTAGAAGGACACATCAATCTTTCCTTTCTTCTTAGCGCCTAGCACACTCTCACATATGATGGTTCACACAGCAATTGAGGAAACAATCAGAGTTGTGAGAGTCTCCAGGTTTCTCCATCTGTTGATTTCTGGTAGTACTCAAATCAGTTCAGGAGAACTCTGAAAACAACCTACATGAATGGCGGTCCATAACCTTACAAAGTTCTGGGTTTCTAGAGAGATTGTCCCTGGTTTCTATCAACATTTTACAGTTTCATCCCAATGCCTGACTTATATATGTCTCTGTTCAGTTGAGCTTTTCCAGGATTATCTTAGCACTATGATTTGTAAAATATTTGAGACATTATAAACAGCTATGTTTATCATTATTAAGGAAATAGTTTTTAACTGGCAGCAAGCCAGTTTTATTCAATGTCCTGTCAAACAAATCCCATATTAACAATTCCAACAACACTTCATTAAGATCTTAACTTTCAAGTCTAAGAGAAGGACTCTACAAAAACCCATTTTACATTGAAGAATTTTTAACTGAGTGTTTTTAAGACCCTAAGAATAGTTACTAGGCATATACATTCTTTATATAGCTATCATAAAATTCATCAAACATATAACTATATGTAATGAATCTATCCATTTTAAAGGAGAAAGAATGTTTGTCTCACCAAGTCTCAGAAATAGAAGGATATGAAATCTTTGAAGCCTCTTCTAGTCCCTTCTTGAGTACATTTGCCTCTCCAAGGAGGTAATCACCCTCTTATTAAATATTGAGTGAATTTTTTTTTTTTTTTGAGTTGGAGTCTCACTCTGTCACCCAGACTGGAGTGCAGTGGCCGCTCCCGGCCACCACAGCCTCGACCTGCTGGGCTCTGGCAATCCTTCCGCCTCAGCCTTCCACATAGCTGGAACTACAGACATGCGCTACCACGCCCGGCTAATTTTTTGATTTATTGTAGAGATGAGGTCTCGCCTGCCCAGGCGGGTCTCAAACCTGCGGGCTCAGGCAATCCACTCACCTCAGCCTCCCAAAGGCGCGGGATTACAGGCTGAGCCACCGAGCCTGGCTGAGTGAATATTTTTCTGCTTTTTGTTGTACCTTTTATAACTGTGCAACTGTAACTATCCCTATATAATCTATCAGAATAGAAACCAAATTTTATGACTTCCTGCTAGTAGCATTTTTTTGCTCAACATCCAGATTGAGATGTACCCATGTTGATTCCTGTAGCTTTAGTTCACTGATTTTCCAGCTGTATAGTATTCCATTGAATTAATATACTATAATTGATTTATCCATCCTATTATAGATCGATATTTTGATGTTGCCAGTGTATTTGCTGTTCCAAACACTGGTTTTTGAAACAAGTGTGTGCAAGTCTGGAACACACATGTTGAGTAACTAGCAGTAGGCTGTTGGGTCTCAGGCTTCCATATGTTTAATCTTATTGGAAATTCCAAAATTGTTCCCAAAGTGATGGCTCCAACATTTATCCCCCCCAAACAGGTATGAGGGTGTTCATTACTCCACATCCTCACCAATCTTTGAAACTGTCATATTTTCATATGAACAAGTTACCTGTGTGTGAAATCACATCTTATGGTGGCTTTATGCTGCATTTCCTTGTTTACTAATTGGTTCATGTTTGCTGGTCATTCATGTTTCCTCTTCTTGAAATGGGTGTTCAGTGTGTTTATGTTTTCCCTCAGTTTTTTGGGTTTTTTTTTTTTTTTGAGTGGCCTCCTTTTTCTTACTGATATGTAGAAGTTTTTCATATGCAGATACCAATCCTTTGTCTTGTCTCAGAATATGACTTTTCTTAATTAAAATAAACTAATAAAACAAAAGGAAGATGAGTTAACTGTTAAACCCTGAGAATTTGAGCTATGGAAGGGAAGTCCAAATCAAATCTTATGGTTAGCTTAGATATGGGATTACATGGTTGAGGAAGTTCAGTGGCAGACAGGCAAATCTGACAAATTAATTAGAGAAAAAAAGCGGAGAAGGCATTAATAAGATTTAGTAGCAGAATTAAATTTTAAAAAAATCATGTCTGATTCAAAACAAGGGAGTCTAGCTAAGACTCTATATAAAAGGGAGAAGAAATCAAGAAGAAATCAGGAAGGAGAGACTTAACTGATGTGAAAGCAACAGCCCTCAGGATGAAGAAAGATGGGACTGACATCCCAAACTAAACAATGCATTGCTGCCAATAAGATATACTCATTTGTACTCTTATGTCGCTTCCAGATCATAGAGTACAATGACAGATGTCAAGAAGAAATGAAAAGCCATAAGTCATAATAATATGAATCTCTCCCTAACTACTAATTTAATAAGTGAGATTTACATATTAAGTCTGTTAAAATGTTGGTTTTTCTGGGTAAACAAATAATGTTTTAAAAGTTTTTAGCTCTAAGTAGATCAAGCAAGCCTTTTCTAACCTACCTTCTTCAACATAACCCGAATTCTGTAATTAATAGGAATGAGTGATTGCTTTACTAGAATGGAAACTCTAGTATTAACACAGGAAAAGTATTTATTTGCTGTTTTCGAAATTAAGAAATGTTATCTTAGAAAAAGAGATGTTTTCATAACTCTTCCATTTTTAAAATATTTAGGCTGGGTACATTTGCTCATGCCTGCAAGCCCAGCACTTTGGGAGGCCAAGGCAAGAGGATTGCTTGAACTCGGGAGTTCGAGACCAGCCTGGGTAACACAGTGAGATCTCATCTCTACAAAAATAAATAAATAAAATTAGTTGGGTGTGGTGGTGCATGACTGTAGTCCCAGCTACTTGGGATGCTGAGGTGACTGGATCACTTGAACCCAGGAGGTCAAGGCTGCCATGAACCAGGATCATCATGATCATGCCAATGCTCTCCAGCCTGGAGTCCAAAAATAAAAATAAAAATAGAAAATTAAGAAACTTACTTTGTACTAAACTCTGTTTTAATGAATAAACAAATATTGATTCATTTAATCCTAATAATATTTCTAAGAAGTCACAGTGATAGTATCCCATTTTACCAATGCAGAAACTACTTACAGAAAATTTAGAAATTTTTCTCACATTC